CTCATTGGCCAAAAAGTTTTGAATCGACCGGAATCAATGGTAATCTGAGGGAGCCAAATCGGGAGCATACGGCGGATGTGGTAAAACCCCACCATCCTAGATTCTCCAGTTTCTGCTGAGTCATCTTTGCAACGTGAGGTCTAGCGTTGTAATGGATGAACTTTATCTTTGATGTGTCTACTCCTTGACGAACGAGAACTTCATTGACCCGATCAAGTTGCTGTTTGTAGAGGTCGGATGTGACTGTTTGGCCGGTTTGTAGAAGCTCGAAATACACAAGGACCTTGTTATTCCACCATACTGAGAGCATGATCTTTTTCCCATGAATGTCCGGTTTCACGGTCGGATTTGGCCGTTCTCCTGGTCCTAGTCATTTCATTTTTCGAATAGTATTATCGAAATGGATCCACTTCTCATCTCCAGTAACGAGAGAATCAAAAAAGCCATGATCTTTAGCGTGGCGGATGAGGGTTCCGGCAATAGCGACCCGTGAAGCCTTTTTAGCACTGCTTAACTCGTGAGGAAGCCATTTCCCGGATCTGATCGTCTTTCCAATGGCGTGGTGATGCTCATCAATGGTAGAATTTGGACATAGAAACTGTTGAGCAAGTTCGCGCGTCGTTTGACATGGATCCGGTTCGATTGTAGCCCTCAAAATAACGTTGTCTACCGCTTGAGGTCGACGAGAGTGTTCATCATCCTCGAGACTTTCACAACCATTCCGAAAGCGTCGGAACCAGGCTCGGCATCGGCTTTCGGACAATACATCATTCCCAAATGCTTTGACCAAATCTCGATGGGATTCCGCGACTTTTTTTTGCCCAGTTTGAAGTGGTAAAGTAGGCAGACGCTAACTTGTTGTTCGAAGTCGGGCATCTAAAGCAAGAAAAAAGATCTTAAAAATAACAAATTATCCGTTTAAAAAGTTTCCAAATATGCGCAAGATAACGTACTTTTAAATACAGAAAGATATGTTTTAAAAGCTTCTCTCACAACAAAAAGTTTAGCAACGCTTGTTTATATCCGAACAACCTAATATTTCATTTGTCAGAAATTAACTCGCAATGCTCATTTCATTGTGAGCCTCCAAACAAACCATCAATCCATTTTTGCGCTCTAACGGCAATAGCGCTGCCCAGTACATGCCGATCATTGTCGCTATTGATGCTGATAGCGACAATATTTCTTTTTGTATAAAAACAGCTAAGCAAATTGAGACCCTCGTTTGAATAACCACTAAAATCGATATTATTTTTCTTTCTTTTCTTCTCTTTGAACCTGAATGTGCAATTTACCAGTGGTGGCTCTTGAAAGTCGATGTAAAATGGGCAAGATCCACATCGAATACCCTTAAAAATCTTTAAAATAGCAATCATTTGATCTTACCGAATCATTTGAACACAAAATTGCAATTTCGATTTTTAATTCTGTATCGTTGCTTTGGATGCAAAGTGGTCCATGTTTTGAAAACTGCCAAGCTGTAAATGCATTAACTTCACTAAGCATTGCAATGATCTAATGCGGTTCCAATACGGTTCCAATACGGTTTCAATACGGTTCCAATACGGTTCCTATTTTGATCTAATACGGTTCTAATACGGTTCCAATACGGCTCCTATTTTGATCTATTGGGTTGTCCAGTTATCGTTTTTTACTATTTTGTAAATTTCTCAAAATACCGAAATCATGAAAACGATATATATGAGTATTATTCGAAAGCTGAAGATTTCCTCTACATTTTGATATAAAAAGCTTTTGAATTTGTCGAGCTTTTGGGCAAATTGACTGCACAGAAGAAGAGGTGGCCAAAAAATGGAAGAGTGCCTTTGGGTCAATTTTTGGCTCCACTCAAATTGAGTTAACCGTTTGATGTTTGGCCAATAGATACATCAATACAACTTTTTTTAAGTATAACAATTTCAGAGCATCTTTTCTTTTCTGGGCGGTTATTTTACACCATAAAACTTGAGGAATAGCTAAGCTGGAATGGGTTTTCTCGAAAACGACCTCTCCCTTTGTGCAGTCAATTTCCCAAAAAGTTGAATGAATTCAAAAACTTTTTGATTCCAAAATGTAGAGGAGATCTTCAGCTTTCGAATGATATATAACACTCATATACATCTGTTCGATATCTTGAGAAATTTACAAAATAGTAAAAACGCGCATTCATAACTGGACAACCCAATAATACGGTTCTAATACGGTTCCTATTTTGATCTACTAAGGTTCTAATACGGCTCCAATACGGTTCCTATTTTGATCTAATACGGTTCCAATACGTCTCCAATACGGTTCCTATTTTGATCTAATACGTTTCCAATACCGTTCTTTTTTTGATCTAATACGGCTCCAATACGGTTCCAATACGGTGCTTTAAGGATGCTTTCTCGCAAATCGATTGCCTCAAAAAACATTTTTTTAAATGATTTTCACTGTTCAAATTCAATTGAAACGAACAAAGAGCGGCTTTGTCAAGGTATACTCCATGAAAAGTGGCCTCTGGGTTACGCTCCGTTAGCTCGAGCACTTCACCACATTCGAGATCATCAGGCTCGACGATCGGCCCTAAGCCCAATTCGAATTTAAAACCAGATCTGGCAACAGTCTCATGAGGACACCATTCTAACTAAAAATGGCAAGTTTAGTTATCCACCAAAAGAAAGACAAAAATAATATATAAATTGTAAGCAAAAATATGCAATATCAAAGATACTTCTAGTCTCCGTAATCCTGGCAAAACCCGATTTTGAAACCCTAATATATTGAAATCGAATAGCCTAACCTTTAAACATTTTGCATGAAAGCTTTGAGGATCAGATGATTGAATAAAACTAAAAACGAATATAGCAAAAACAGAAAACATAGCAAAGTACGTGATGTTGCTAAGGAAATGAAGGCAATTTTGATCCGAGTAGATTACCATTTTCAGAGCTCCCTCCAATAAGTCGGATAGATGAAAAAGAAAATTCTTTTTGAATTCACTCTAAGAATAGTTTTATTGAATTTGAATTTTGAATTTTTGAATTTTATTTGCCTTTTTTTGCCGAGGAATTTTGATTGAAACTCACGTGAAATAATGCAGTTTGCTTTAAACAATCACGAGATTTGATAGAATCGTCGAAGGGCCAAGGAAATCCAAAAGAAGTGATCACCGTTGGCTGATCCCCAAAAGCAAATGAATCTAATCCTTTTGTTTGAGTGACTACATTTTTGGGTCTTGCATGACAGCAGTTTACATTCTTGTATGAGAGCAGTGACACAAAATGAGCAGCTACTCCGGGAGAAAATCGTGGTGGCCGTGGAACGGGATGGAGTGCCTTGACCGCTTCTGAATTGCAGTATAGCAGGCTTTTTAGGTTGTGTAAACCTAAAAAGCCATTTTATTTCATTCTAAGCTATATCTGTTCACTACAAACTACAAATTAAACTTCAAACTTCAAAATTAAACAAATTTCTTCCCGTAAGTCCTTTTTCAGAAATTTTTTTACCAGAATGTAAAGAAAAAAATTCTCTTTCAAATGGTATACCGTATTTCTTCGAATAGAAGACCGGGTAAAGAGTATCATCGCGTACTCCTGCGTAGCAGCTCTTTTTAAAATTTCTTTTCTGCATAAAAGCTTTCAATGAAGTGCTATAGGGCTGGAAAATGGTTCAAAAATCTGTTAGCTCATGTGGTATTTTTGAGCCATTTTCCAGCCCTATAGCACTTCATTGAAAGCTTTTATGCAGAAAAGAAATTTTAAAAAGAGCTGCTACGCAGGAGTACGCGATGATACTCTTTACCCGGTCTTCTATTCGAAGAAATACGGTAAATAATAAAGTTCCTTATTTTTTTCCCCCAACTTTGAAGCACTATAACTCGAGAACTATACATTGGAGTCTATAAGTGTTATAGTGATTCTGAAAGCTTGAAACGAGATCTATAAGATAGTATGCTTAATTTTTTGATTTGCTTTAATTTTTGACCGATTTCAGGGCGCGCAAAGTAGGGTGTCAAAAATTCACTTTTTCAAGACGCTTTTTCTTATAGATTCCGTGCTTCAATCGTTCTGAAATCATGTTTTTTTTTGGAAAGAACGTCAAAAATTATCCCTAACCGTGTTTCCATTATATTTGCTGTCTTAAGGTTTAAAAAAAACCACCTGACAGATATCGTCGCTTCATGGAGAGAATCTGAAAGCCACAAATGAAAATTTATCTTAAACAAGTCAACATAATAAAAGAAAACAAAAATGTAAAAATTATAATTAACAAAATCGACTACAAAAACTCAGTACTTTGTGGGGTAACCCTTTTGGGTCGATGACTGCCCGACAACGGCCGAAGAGAGTCGAGAAGTCGATCGATCACCCACATACCGAATCTCACTTCACGCACAAGAAATTATTCAATGGAAACACTACTAGGGGGTAATTTTTGACGTTCTTTCCAAAAAACATGGTTTCAGAACGGTTGGAGCACGGAATCTATAAGAAAAAGCGTGTTAAAAAAATGAATTTTTGACACCTTATTTTGGTGAAAAATTTTCTGGGAAAAAAATTTCTAAAAAAGGACTTAGCAAGTTATGAGCCTTTGTAGCTATCACTGCATCACTATAGCCTGTATATCAACAGCCTGTATACCAATAGCCTGTATACCTACAGCCTGTATACCAATAGCCTGTATACCAATAGCCTGTATACCTACAGCCTGTATACCAACAGCCTTTATACCTACAGCCTGTATCACTACAGCCTATATACCTACATCCTGTATCACTACAGCCTGTATCACTACATCCTGTATCACTACAGCCTGTATCACTACAGCCTGTATCACTACAGCCTGTATCACTACAGCCTATATACCTCGACAGTTCGTCATTTTTGTAGTTTGTAGCGCCCAGGTTTATTCTAAGCCTTTGAATCAACCATCAATCAATAGGTTGAATCAACCTAACCCATCAAAAAAAAAATTGATATCTAATAGTCTCAACGTGATTTTCACTAAAGCTCCTTTTACTTTTTGTCCGACAAGGAATACAATTCGTTTCCATTGTGACCCGGATCAGATCCTTGAAATACAGAGAATAAAGCATCCATACGGCAAGTAATAACGGGCTGGACAAAAAAGTGTAAATGAAAATCTAGCCATCGATAGGGTACCTGAAAATCCGAGCAAAACCAGCTCATATCCTCGTCTTCTCCCGAGTAATTGATGGGTATCAAAGCGTTATCGGATTCGAACAAATGACTGAAAGTTTGGTCATTAACAATGAATGTTAAATAATGAAGATCTCAAAAACAAAGTTTGATCTAGGAATTTTATTTTTCGCTGGAGTATAGTATAGCTGTAGCGGATGTCCTCCGTGAGGTAAAAAGGAGAATGGCGCTCCTAAGTACCCGGGTACTTTAAAGCCAAGGGAATTGTCGGAAAGCTGAGGGGTGCACAGCTCAAACAACGCTCAGTCAAAACCAACCATAAGTCGCGTCAGCTTCTATATCTCAAGTTATAGGCCATCTAAGTTCATCAACTTTTCCAGGTAGGTACTTCAACTTTGACACTAATTTTCTCTATGTTCTTATACCTGAGTACACAAAACAAATTTTACTTTTCTATAGCCAAATTTAATGAGGATTCTTTTAAAAGCAATTACAAGTCGATTCAACCCCCATATCTCGAGTTATAGACCATCTGAGTTGATCAACTTTTCCAGGTAGGTACTTCAACTTTGACACTAATTTTCTCTATGTTTTTATACCTGAGTACACAAAACAAATTCTACTTTTCTATAACCGAATTTAATGAGGATCATTTTAAAAACAACCTTAAGTCGATCTGATTACTGGGAGTCGAGTCATAGAGTAAATTAATGTTCTCCGCATCTTTTAAATGGTTTTTCTCAAATTGGGATCTCTCAAATGGTTTTTCTGAGGTAATTTTGTGCGTAGAATCCGATTTTTAACATCTCAGCAGTGGATTTGAAAAGATTAAAGTTCAAAAATTTGTGTTTTAGAAGCAAATTTGGCCGTTTCACCCACTGTTGAGCCCTGTGAGGCTCCCTTTGGGGCAAGCCAGCAATTGACCTAGGCTTTACCTACAGCGGCCCCATAGGCGACGCCTATGGGGCCGACTTTCGCCTGTCCGGGAAGTGACCTGCGCCACACCGTGCTTTTTTTTCTAAAGCAGTCGGAAAAGCTTTACCAAAGGCAACTAAGCGCTTATAAATCCTAGATCCTGAAGAGCTCGCAGCACTAACCCGGGACCTATCCGGGAATTCATTATTTGTGTCGAATAAATATACCTTTTATTTAGAGTTCTGTTATAGAGAGAGTCGAATGTAATTGAAAATGGTATTAACTAGAAATCATTTGACTTTTTCCAAACCTACCATTGAGACCTGTGAGGCTCCCCTTGGAGTAAGCCTGCTATTTACCTAGGCTTTGGCTTTGCACATACAGCGGTCCCACTTCCCGGACCGACTTTTGTCTGGCCGGGAAGTGACCTGCACCATACCATGGTTTTTTCTAAAAAGGTAGGAAAAGCTTTACATAAGGCAACTAAGCGCTTATAAACCCTAGATCCTAGAGAGCTGAGTTTATTCCCTAGATCCTAGAGATCCTAGAGAGCACTGACCCCCTCCGGGACCTATCTAAGTATAGATAGCTTGCAGCACCGGCCCTCCAACTATAGGCTTATGCTATGTTTTGTAGAAAAAACGCCTGATCCGCACCTAGGATGTTGAAATTCGGATTCTACACACAAAATTACCCTAGAAAAACCACTTGAGAGATCCTTGAGAGATCAATTGAGAGTTCCTTGAGAGATCAATTGAGAGATCCCAATTGTGGGTGGGGGTTAAACTGTACCGCAGCCTTATTTTTTTAAAATACTTTACTTGCTTCATGATATTGAAGTATGAAGAGATGGTCGAACTTACGAGCTTGCCACAAAAGTCACAATAATATCGATAGCCACAAAAATGTTTATCGAAGTTGTTGGCTCGTTTATCGGAATCACTAATAATCGCTTTTCAGCTGAATAAATTATTTTTAGCAAAAATCTGTAATAAAAACAACCATCAACCCATTCGCCAACTCGAAAAGAAACGCCCCAATTCGTTGCCGTGCCATTAAGCGACTCAATACGCAGCTCTTTTGTATTCTCGAATTTGTAACGACAAACAAAATAGTAAGTGTTCACGTCAATTGAGCTTGGCCTTAAGCTTGGGCTTAATCATATTTTCAATTTCAAATCACGATCACGATCATTGTTTCTATCAAAACACCTAAAATATTAAGTGTTTTGATAGAAACTGACCAACTCTCTGTGCAATACTCATTTTCAAGAGTTCAAGAGTTATTCCATCAGTTATTCCAGATCAAAAAAAGGAATCTGATCAAAACACAAAATTTTCTACCCAAATTTTGGTAGAGTGCATGTAGAACTTTAAAATGATTTCAGAAAAATTCTTTTTGGACAAGAAAAGGCTCATTAAACTTCTTTTAAGCCCTTCTTATAGGAACATTACAGTGAAGTACACTATAGAGACGGCGAGCTTCTAAAAGTCAGTCTAAAACGCATTTTCCCAAGCTTCAACTATGAAATTCGTAATCTACGCAAAAAAAAACTGCCTTGGAAAAAGCTAGAAGAAAAAAATTGCCTCCCCGCCCAACTGTCGTAGTACCAATTCAGCTGGAGGGTTGCCGCTCTGGTGCGTTAGATGGTGCTATTATATTAGATGGTGCTATTCTAATAGATTGTGCCATTTCAATAGATTGTGCCATTCTATTAGACGGTACCATTCTAATAGATTGTGCCATTCTAATAAATAGGACCATTCTATTAGACGGTGCCATTCTAATAGATTGTGCCATTCTAATAGATGTTGCCATTCTAATAGATTGTGCCATTCCAATAGATTGTGCCATTCTATTAGACGGTACCATTCTAATAGATTGTGCCATTCTAATAAATAGTGCTATTCTAATAGATGGTGCTATTCTAATGGATAGGGCCATTCTATTAGACGGTGCCATTCTAATAGATTGTGCCATTCCAATAGATTGTGCCATTCTATTAGACGGTGCCATTCTAATAGATTGTGCCATTCTAATAAATAGTGCTATTCTAATAGATGGTGCTATTCTAATGGATAGGGCCATTCTATTAGACGGTGCCATTCTAATAGATTGTGCCATTCTAATAAATAGTGCTATTCTAATAGATGGTGCTATTCTAATGGATAGGGCCATTCTATTAGACGGTGCCATTCTAATAGATTGTGCCATTCCAATAGATTGTGCCATTCTATTAGACGGTGCCATTCTAATAGATTGTGCCATTCTAATAAATAGTGCTATTCTAATAGATGGTGCTATTCTAATGGATAGGGCCATTCTATTAGACGGTGCCATTCCAATAGATTGTGCCATTCTATTAGACGGTGCCATTCTAATAGATTGTGCCATTCTAATAAATAGTGCTATTCTAATAGATGGTGCTATTCTAATGGATAGGGCCATTCTATTAGACGGTGCCATTCTAATAGATTGTGCCATTCTAATAGATGGTGCTATTCTAATAAATAGTGCTATTCTATTGGATGGTGCCATTTATTTTAGGTGTTTTGATAGAAACTGACCAACTCTCTGTGCAATACTCATTTTCAAGAGTTATTCCGTTGATCAAAAAAGGAATCTGATCAAAACACAAAATTTGCGCTTGTTTATTGAAGTCTCTCAAGTAGAGGCCACTTTTAGCTTCTGTACTCGGCTCGTCAAGACATCCAACTTGAGTATAGTCAACCAGAAATGAATCACCACCAACAATCGTGATTTTCTGAAATCCATTTTGTATCAATAGTAGTTCTATTAGATAGGGCCATTCTAATAGATGATGCCGCTCTAATAAAGGATTTACGGTCATTGTTATTTTATTGAACTCAACTAAAACCTCCATTTCATCCAAACCTCCATTTCATTCAGCCGCTCTCCATGAACAGCAACCGATGGAACCAATTCATCTAATTGAAAGACCCTCCCATCGATAGTGCTAATAAAAAATAAAAGAAAAGTTTTCAGGACAAATAAAACTTTTTGCATCTTAAGAAAAGAATAATGAAGCGGACATTGGGTCAAAACTTTTGAGGTGATTATCGAGTCGAAGACAGAAAAGACGGAAAAGCTCTTTTCCACTGATAAACGTTTCGTGTTTACCTCAAACGGCAATCCGATTATAAAGACAATTCAATTAAAACTAATTGAAAATCGCCTTAACTGGAAATCATTTGTCTTTTTCAAAATTATTTCGAAGTTTTTGTTTTATAAGATGAAAAGTAGTGTTGAAAATTTCTTTAGAATTCTCCAGAAATCAGATTTTTTTTTTCTAGACTTGTATTGTATTCTAAGCATCAAAGAAGTCACAAAGATACTCAAGAATCATCAGAGAACTCGGGCACACCTCTTCGACAGCACTGTCCTCCCGGCACTCTGCTACGGGACAGAGACCTGGGCCACGACACAGACCGCTGAACGAGCCCTGATAACGACGCATCGAGCCCTTGAAAGGAACCTCCTCGGGTACAATAGGAAGACGCAGCTCGACCAGGACCTAAGAAGTACGGATATGCGCCAGCTCTCGGGACTCAGAGATCCAGTGGAAGTGTTCGAGAGAAAAAAACTCAGATGGGCCGGTCACGTAGCCAGAAGAACGAACGACAGATGGACGATACGGATCACAGAATGGCTACCACGAGACCAGAAGAGGCCCATCGGAAGACCAGCAACGAGGTGGAGCACAAGAGTGGCAGAGACGGTCAGAGAAAGGATGGCTAGAGTGCAACCACCACCAGCACCAGCAAGTCGAAGACTTCGAACCAGGAACAGTCAAGCTAGGAAACACTGGATGAGAATAACAAGGGATAGAGAAATGTGGAAGCAGGTTGTGATCTGCGCAAATAGGAACACCTGAGTGCGAAAACAGATAAAAAAAAATTGTATTCTATTTTATTGTTGCTTTTTTAAAAATTGGTTCGGGTAATTTTGGGGCATCCTTTTGTTTTGCGTAAAATCTTTTGAAAAATTCTATAAAGAAATCGACTAAACATATGATTCTGAAAATTTGCCTATAAACTTAACGTTTTACGCTCGATCTTTTATCTTATCTCTTGATCCAAAGATGGATTTTCGTGAACCAATGTTATACCAACGCCGCCTTATCATCGATTTAGTGGAATGTTTTTGTTGTTTTTGTTAAAATTCTTAAAGGCATTCATCCCGACCCCCTTTTTTCTGAATATCTTTGAATTCGGCTCTCTACGAGGCGCCTCCAGAAGGGGAGACTCATACGCCAACCTTCCGTCTCCTCTAAAAGCCCCCACAATTTCTTTTTTAATCGAGTTATTAAATTCTGAAACATTTTACCCCCTCATGTTCGTGATATTTCCACCTTGGATAGATTTAAAGCAATTGAGCAATCAGCAAAGCAATCAGCAAAGCAATCAGCAATTGATTTGACTGCTCTATAATTCTTTCTTGAGGTATCTATTTATCTTTTGGGTGTGTTTTGAGTGGTGTCCTGGGTAATTATTGTAATTTTGTTTTGTCGCTATTCAACTGAATAAAGCATATATATATTGGGTTGGTGAATTGGAAACTGCGGGACTTTGAAAACTGCGGGACTTTGAAAACTGCGGGACTTTGAAAACTGCGGGACTTAGGGGACTTTAACAATGTCATGTTCGTTCTAGCAAATTAACAAAAGAATCGTTTGATTACTAGATTTCTATTATTACAATAGATTACTATTAGGTTGGTGAATTGAAACTTTGACTTTGAAACTTTGACTGGACTTTGAACTAAAATTTATTCAACATAAAACCATGAATTCATTCGAAATAATTTCCATTATTATTGACGACTTCTGCCCATTTTATAGGCAATTTACGGATTCCTCTTTCGTAGTAGGATTTTGGTTTGTGTGTGAGACAAGTGTGAGACTCAAAAATGGAGGACTGGAGACTGGAGAAGGACTTCCAGTTTGAGCACTTTCTTCAAAAGAAACCCATTTTGGTGTCAATAGAAAAGTTGTAGAGAATCAAAAATGAAGCTTATATCCAAATTTTCAGAACGTTTGACTAGAGATCAATAATTGTTGAATAATTCACACTTTTGTTGAAAACTCGTTCCCGCTTTTCAGTGAAAGTCTTTTATTTGTGTATGCAGCTGAAAAACGAGTGCATACAAAGCACAAAACTTCTTTAAAGCATAAAGAGAAGCATTTTTTTTTTCCAGTAACCATGGAGAGCCGAGTCTTTTCTTTCAATAGATTCCATTCTGTGACTCACTTTCACTCCCATGTCATCATCATTTTGCTATCGAATTCTTCCAGAAGAGTTGAAAAACTCGGTTTTATCATCTGTCAGCTTGAAAGATGTTCAAGAGCTCTACAAAGTCAATAAAAATCTTCAAACGAAAATTCTTAACGAACCATTGCCGAGAAAAATCAGCAATCTTGGTATTTTTGTTGTTGACGACGAGGATCCGCTTAAGATTTCGCTTTTCGTGAGTCTCAATCGAGAGATCGACTTCAGGGTGAGTTACACTAAATGTAAATGTCAGCTTTTTCATTCTTAATTGAATTCTTCATTTCTTAACACCAGATTATGTCTCCCAGAATATTGTTGATACCGTATTTTTTCTAATACTAGTGCACCCTGAGCGTCGCCTAAATTCCTCGACGTCTCGAGAACCGCTTATCAGAACCTATCGATGTGAGGTCGGAAAATGGAGCTGACGATGAGATCTAGTGGGGGATTTGAGTGTTGAGCTTCTGTGAAAACTTTGGAAGCCGTAAATAGTGACCAACTCGGCTCGCTTGGGTGCACTAGTATTAGAGAAAATACGGTAACAAGAGTTTAAGACTTTGCAGCTATCATAACCTACAATCATAACTTAAACCATCATAACTCAAGGATTAATCTTGCCTGAAATCATCTGATTAGTCTAATCTAAGACCAGTAGGACCAAGCTATACCAGACTTGGCCATTTTTGACCATATCAAGTCAGTCTAAGTCTGCAAGTTAATCCAGGCCAAGTCCATGGCTTGCCTAACTTGCCTGGCTAGGTCAGACTAGATATGTAAGCTAGTTATGAAGTTAAGTACAAGTCTGACCTAGACTGACCTAAATTCAAGAACAAGTAGAACTAGAAGAACTAGAACTAGAAGAACTAGAACTAGAAGAACTAGAACTAGAACTAGAAGAACAAACTGATAAAGAAAAGATTTCAGATTTACGAAACGACCGTTCACCTCGTGGAAGAGCTCAACGAGAACGAGATTCCACTCAAAATCTCTCCGCAAACTTTCTGGGATTTTCTGAAACCGATCATTTCCATCAAATTTTTCGAGCTTCTCCTTCACAGTTCAATCGAGAACGCTCCACTCTACTCAAGTTCTTTATACAAAAATTTTGAGAACGGTAACTTTCTACCAAAAGCCAGTCACATCTCGAGTTTATCTCTTCGCACAACAACAAAATATGCGAATACAATCTTTTCCAAGTTTGACGCTAAAATTGTGAACTTTTTAAAGCTCGGATTCAACATTTTCGATGAACCGGATGGAGCAATTGGTGAATTTCTGAGCACTGCCCTTCAGAAACCAAACGTTAGGACTTGTAAAGCGATAACTTGGCGTTTCTCGATGGTTTCAATTGATCAACTAGCGATTTGTGACTCAAAATTGTTAATCATTGAAGAGATTTGGAATGAAAACTTTCAACAAACCATTGAAAAGATTATTGCTGAGAATTTGGGCAAAGAAAAGGAGACAATGCTTTTGTTTTACTATCGAGTTTATGAAGACGCGATTTTCCAGGATTGGTTTGAAGAGTTGAGAAGTTCGATTCGAAATCAAAAATGTGAGGAATTAGAGCAAGAATCGGAGAGAATTGAGTACATGAATGAGATTTGGAAAAATCTCAGAGATGAGCTGAGAAACGTGGAGACTTGTGAAGTTTTCGAATGGGAAATGCCGATTTTTAAGCAGAAATACTTCAGCAAAAGGATTTCTGATGAAAGAGAAGCGATTTATTTGCTGAATTTGCAAAAAGAGGAAACAAAGGGATATTTATTTCAGTTTTTCGTCAAATATCGGAAGCCAATTGAAGAAAAAAATATAGATTAAGTGTAAAACTTGGGCAATCTCTTGTGTCGTTTGTCTTCTGTGCAATTTGGGTGAATAAAGTTGTGATCGTTTATTTTAAGAGTCTTAAAAACGTTTAAAAGAGTTTTAGAAACGTATTCATGAGATAAAATCACTTTTTGAAAACTTTTGAACCTTGGAAAACGCTCGACAGTCGACTCTCGATATAACGATTTTGTCGAGACCGCAAAATGGAATCGTTGCATCGAAAAGCGTTATATACAGCCAAAAATTGATGGACAAAGGTCTTTTAACATCGCAGTTTCTTCGAGAAATAAGTTCTGCCTTCATTTACATTCGCTTTAATTGCTTTGAATTTCTTTTTGTTGGGTTTTTATACATTTTTATTGTTATATAAACTTTTATTGGAGCGCGGGATACTACAGGCCTATCACCATTGCTGACAGCCTATCACCATTGCTATTTGTTATGTGCATGGATACATCCAGACGATAGTGTTGAAGAAGACGCTGGAAAGCATCTCTTTCGACCGTCGACGTGGACTTTGGCCGGATGAAGAGGCCAGGGAGGTATCCATAAGACTGAGCACCGGAGAGGAGCAGAGCGGACGCGCCGAGCCACGCCCGGAGCAACAAATAACAGCATAAAATTGCTATAACCCTCAATAAATTTACTTCTATTATTGTTCTATTTTAAAAAGCAAAAAAGTTATGCTGCAGCGGGGTTCGAACCCTCGACACACCGCACCGGAGACAGCCGTCAATTTGCATGCGAAAACCAAACAGAACTTATACTTGCGACTTTAGGGTATTTGTAATGTTAAAATTAGAGATAATAAGCTCTTTAAATCTTTTAACCGTTTGCAAATTCGTCGGATTTGGACCAAGATATACAAAGAATAAACTTTTAAAAATCAAGTCATTCTCTCAGCAAACCCAATCCACTTGTCCGTAGTTAAGCTTTTAAACTGATCAATTTCTCTAATTATACACAGATAAAGGAAATTTCACTGACAACAAGTGTTGCCAACATCAAAATTTCACAAGAATCTATAACACTGCCACGTTTTTGCATTTTCATAGTACCGTATTTTCTCTAATAGTAGTGCACTCCAGCGAGTCGAGTTCGTGACCATTTTACGGCTTTCAAAGTTTTCCCAGAAGCTCAGCACTCTAATCCTTCACTAGATCTCATCGTCAGCTACATTTTCCGACCGCACAGCAATAAGTTCGGATAAGCGGTTCTCGAGATTTCGAGGAATTTAGGCAACGCTCAGGGTGCACTACTATTAGAGAAAATACGGTATTCTGTATTTTCCCTAATTGTAGTGCTCTCTTCCCTCCCTCGGGCCGAGCCGAGTTGGCGATGATTTTACAGTTCCCAAGCTTTCGCAGAAGCTCAACACTCTAATCCTCCACTAGATCTCATCGTGAGCTACAATTTCCGACCCCACATCGATAGGTTCTGATAAGCGGTTCTCGAGATTTCAAGCAATTTAGGCGACGCTCAGGGTGCACTACTATTAGAGAAAATACGGTATCATATTTCTATTTTTACCCATTTATTGCCACAAAATGAAGATCACAAAGTTGAAATTGAAGACACCGACTTTTTTTTCCGCGAAAAGTGATAAAGAAAATTTTTACAAACCAACAGAAAGTCACTAAAAATCAAGGATCCAATAAAGTTAAATTCAAGAAAAAAAAAGAGTTTTCGATAATGGCAATATTCAGACAATAAAGTAATCGCATTTTTACCCAAAAAAACAAAACAGATTCATATAAAGCTAGAAGCATATTTTAGGCAACAATCAGAAATTACACGAAAATTCAATTAAAGGCAGAATTTTAAAATGCACAAGAAATATTTTCATATGTCAAGGTAGACTGGGAAGAGACTGATTACTGTGGCTTTTATATCACAAACGTCTACCGTAATCCAGAGGAGCTATTTGCTTCAACTGGGTTACTGATTTGGGTGCGAAATGTGCGAAATGTGCTAAATGAAACGATTTTAAAGGAGTAGTCCTTTAAAACTATTCTATTTTGCGCTATTTATACGGTAAACTTGTCGTTAGAAGCTTCATTAGACAGTCTAATGATTAGGCATCGTTAGGCATTGTTAGGCATTGTTAGGCATTCGTTGAAGACTATAAATGAAAAGCATAGAAAGCTTTAATTAAGCATTTACGAGGAGCTACACAAGACCGACTTTTGACTATGTTTGAGGGCATATAGAAGGGAAATATTTACATATGCCAAGGTAGACTGGGAAGAGGCTGATTACTGTAGTTTTTCTGTCACAAACGTCTACCGTAATCCACAGGGTTTTTTGGTTCAAACTAGGTTACTGATTTGAGTGCGAAATGTGCTAAATGTGCGAAATGAAACGATTTTAAAGGAGCAGAACTTTAAAACTACTCGATTTTGCTACAAAAGCCTTTCGCTTTTAATTTTTTACTTTTTACTTTTACCAGACGCTCTAACCACTGAGTTATCCGGTAACTTCTGAAAGTTTAAAGCCTCCTAAACAACCCAAACAACAGCCTCAAAACAACCCAAGCTCAAGCCTAAGCCTACAGTAATCCTAGGAAAAGCAGTCAAGCTACCGTAATCCGATAATAAACCATTCAAAAACCACAGTACTCAGTCGGGTTCTTCCACAAAATATGGTTCCTCTTCTGTGGGAACCTTGCTGGCGACGAAATTCTCAGAAACATAGCGAGGATCTTGAGGAGGATTGAGGTTGCAAGGATTATTTAAGTTTATTTGACGAACCAAAGAGTGATACAATTGAATGTTATAAATTTTCTGTAAATCTTGATAAGTAGATGGGTTAAAGTTTGGGATGAATGAGGAGGGGATGGATGAAGCGAGAGTCGATCGTTTAAATCTTTTGCTGGTGCTGGTGCTTGGTTCTGTCAAATTTGAGTCACTGGTGGAATTTGGGGAAATTTTAGAACTTGCACTTGATTTAGATACATTTTTCAAAGGTTTAGCTGAAGAAATTTTTGTAGGAGTTGACTCTATTGTAGAACTTGATGCAGTTGGGGTTTCTTGAGAAAAGTCGTATCCTTGAGGCACAACGGAGAGGCAAGAGGACGAGCCGGGTTCGGGTTTAGTGTCTAAAGCTGTAAGTTAACAATATTTTTTGGAATGTTTAACGAAAGACTGAGCTATGGAACTTAAACACGGAGAATGCTCAAAAACGGAGAATGCTCAAAAGTGCTCTAACAGGAGAATGCTCTAACACACGGAAAATGCTCGAAAACGAAAGCTTTCAATCGTCGAAACGCAAAGAAATCAAAATTGCCCATCAACACCAACCTCTCACCATAACGGGGCACGGGCGGACGATCGGTGACCGAGTAATCAACCCGGACTTTCATCCCGTCAATCATCGCGTCCGTCAACTCGTCTTTTGCCTGGAATTTTCCAATAAGGTTATTGGATATTTGATACGCGCGCCGCCCCCTTTACCATTGGCAATCTAACTTTGAACTCAAATATCTTGATGTTAGGATGTCCAATTGAAATCTTCTTGGTATCATTAGATGCGCCAAGTCTTTCTCTGTCTATTGGCACAAAAACCATTGAAATTGGACAGCCTAACACTAAGATATTTGAGCTCAAAGTTGAATTACAAATGGCAAAAGGGGCGGGGCGCCCCTAAATCCCGCGCCCTTTGCCATTGGCAATCTAACTTTGAACTCAAATATCTTGATGTTAGGATGTCCAATTGAAATCTTCTTGGTATCATTAGATGCGCCAAGTCTTTCTCTGTCGATTGATAGAAAAACCTTTTTAGATTGGACAGCTTAACACCAAAATATTCGAGCTCAAAGTTGAATTACCAATGGCAAAAGGGGCGGGGCGCATATTAAAGGTTTGTTTCAATTGGTCAGCTTTTTCAATTCTTATGACCACTTCAATAGTTGCTCTGGCTTAGGGACTAGGCTAACACGTAGGAATCTTCCAACCGGACCCCACGATCTTTAAACTAAGCCAAGGGAAGTTCTGATAAAATCAGACCAAGCCCGGCCAGACTAGAGCCAGGTCAGGAGCACTAGGCCCGGCTTACTTCTAGTAAATTCGAGGACTTTTGTGAGCCTGGCCTATAGCAAAGCTAAGCCAAACCAAATCAGACTTTTTATTTACAAAGAACTTATCGAAATCTCGATTCATTACTTACCCGGGTAGCGTACTTGGTGCGACTGTAGTAGACGAATCCAAAGCCTCGACTCCGACCGGTTAGCTTGTCGCGCACGATGAGCACCTGCAATTTGCAATTGCTAGTTTCAAAATTGCTATAGATCTTACATCAAAATTACTACATTGTTCAAAACCTACATTTTCAACAGTTCCAAACTCTTTGAAAATATCCTCAAGTTCTCTCTCGGTTGTGTGCAAACTCATGCCAAAGATTCCCAAGCATCGACAAGGTTCTGGACGATCTCGACCATCCCTAAAGAATGTTGAAGAACGCTGAAGAACTTGAGAATTCATGAGAATTCAAAGGAATTAGATTTAGAACAAAGAACCCATGGGTAAAAGGTTTTTTGGTGTCAAACTTCAAGTCGTTTTGGAAAACTATGAACTATTGATGCCTGCAACTGATGTTGATGTTGATTGATGCCAAAGCTCTGTGAAATTTTTGTTGATGCGAAATCAAAAATGCAATTGATTGAGTAAAGTATTGGGTTGATGCATAATTATCCGGACTTCTTTTTGCGTGCTTGTATCTTTTTTGTTTTGAAAGCTTTTTGTCTATTTCTTTTTTTTAAATATTCGTTATTCTTTAGTGAACAAAATGCGTGTCGACAATCATATCCATCTTCGCCATATCATGCTCTACCACTTCGAAAAGGGATGGTCTGCCGCAGAGTCGTTTCGCGATCTCAAAGAAC